ATTTATTGGAGAGAGAGAGAGTGAGAGAGAGCATGAAAGGGGAAAGGGTCAGAGGGAGAAGCAGACTCCCCACCGAGCAGGGAGCCCGACACGGGACTCGATCCTGGGACTCCAGGATCATGACCTGAGCCGAAGGCAGTCGCTTAACCAACTGAGCCACCCGGGCGCCCTGCTGAATATCATTCTTAAACCACTTGTCTCCTCTGCGTGCCCCCAGCTGGAGAATCCGTGCAGGGGAAGAGTGGCTGCACTCGAACCCAGTGAGGGTGACCCAGATGGTTTTAAGGGGGCGTTTTCACAGCACGTGGAAACAGAGAAACATCAATGTGAGGGTTTGATTCTCTGCACATCTTGGCTCTCTGGCAAAATTTTGAATTTGAATTTTAAGATCAATCTAGAAGGCAAGAGTTTTTAAATATATTTAGTTCAACCACCAGAAGTTTTCCCTCCGAGTAATTTTAGGGTTGCACGGCATGATGAGAAGACCAGATTTCTCTGTGCCATTAAAAGCACACGCACCAGCTTTATTCATAATTGCAAATTCCTGGAAGCACCGATATGTCCTTCAGTGGGTGAATGGACAAACTGTGGTCCATCCGGACGATGGAATATTATTTGGTGATAAAAACAAAGGCGCTTTGAGCCACAAAAGACATGGAGGAAACTTAAATGCACATCACTGACTGAAAGAAGCCCATCTGAAGAGGCCAGAGACTGTACGACTCCAACTGGAGGACATTCTGAGAAAGGCAGAGCTACAGGGAGGCGTGGGGGAGGGGTGAACAGGTGCAGCGCGGGGCATTTTTAGGGCAGTGAGACTATTCTGTAGGATATCCTACTGGTGGACACACATTGTACATATGTCCAAACCCACGGAGCGTACAACACCAACCGTGAACCCTAACGCAAACCGTGGACTTCAGTTAACAATTGTGTCAGTATTGGCTCCTCAGTTATAACCAATGTCCCACGCCACATTAAGACATTAATAGCAAGAAAAACTGTGTGTCAGGGGCAGGGAGGTACAAATATGTGAACTCTGTACATTCTGCTTAATTTTCCTGTAAATTTACAGCTGCTCAAAAAGTGTCTATTAATTTTAAAAAACACAAATGTAATCTTTTCAAGTGAGTAGCTTTCAATAATGTACATTAAAATCCCACATCCATGATCTTACTTTATCCCTACCACACCCACATGCAAGGAACTCAGCTTTTTTTTGGCTGTCCCTGTCATCTGATGGAACAGAGACTCCAAAATCATCTCACTGGGATTTTTAGTTCTAAATCCAGTGCTTTCCCCCAAAATCTGAATCTGACGACTTACAAACTGTAATGTGATGTTTTGGGGGCAATACATATCTCCCCCTCTTTGATCACAAAATACTCAGGCGGTGCGGGGGTGGGGGCGGAAGAAACAGATGGTACTTAGTCTTTGGTCAAAAATCGACAATATAGGATCGGACATTGACGCTGATCCCAGACTAACAGAGGGGTTTCTCCAGCCAGACGCACGTGGGTTTGAATTTTAGTCCTTGATACTTATCCCTGAGACCTTGGGTAAGTCACATTACACCCCCATCTGAAGAACAGGGATCTTCCAGGACTGTGTCAGGGAACCTATGTTGGCACGGTAGCTGGGGCATGGCCAGCATTCAGAGAAGGGTGGCTTTTGGGGTTAGTGGGATTTTTTTTCAAAGGTTTATTTTATTTATTTATTTGACACAGAGTGAGACAGCAAGAGAGGGAACACAAGCAGGGGGAGAGGGGGAGGGAGAAGCAGGCTTCCCACTGAGCAAGGAGCCCGATGTGGGGCTCGATCCCAGGATCCTGGGATCATGACCTGAGCCGAAGGCAGATGCCTAATGACTGAGCCACCCAGGCACCCCTGGGGTTAGTTCTTATTCACAGTGTAGGATATTCTGAATCCCCCTGGGTTCCTCCATCAGGTCTGCTTCCTTTGTCGAACATCAACACATCCTAATGAAGTACCAGGTCATAGTCTGTTCCCCTACCCCGGGGGTCGGGCAGACACAAGCAGACAGAGCAAGCGTTCCCAGCACCCCACACAGACGTACCACACAACCTGAAGAGATGCTTGATGTCCGGCCATGTGAGCAGGTGCTTTAAAACCTCATCCAGGTCATCCACGGCCTCCCCGTTGTTTCTCGGCCAGGACTTAGTGATCACAGCCGACACAAGAGTGCCAAATTTCCGCAGGTCATGAGAAGAGATTCTCTCAAGAATACTGGTCTGAGACTATAAGATAATGAACAAAGAGAGAGAGATGGAGGAGGGTTTTTTTTATTGGTTTGCTTTTGAATAACATAATAAATCTCTCATCCAATAGCACTCCAGAAATCCTTTGTGAATAGTTTAACAGAGTCTCAAAAAAAAGCAAGAGAATAAAATACTTCACTTTTTCCAAGACATTCCCGTTTCCCTGTGTGTTGACTCCTCATATGTGACGGGTAGCAGAGACATGGAGATGTGCACTCGCATACACACAGCTGTGGAAACAGGCGCGCAAAGACACACACAGACGCGCCTACAGGCCACAGCCCCTCTCCTTCTGGCTCACCGTCACTTTCTATGTTTTTCCTGGACTTACCATGAAAAACACCAACCCTAATAATATGTGTAAACCATTGGTAAACACACTCTGTCATAAACCCTAACTCTAAACTGTCATTCTTTTAAAGCCTGTCTACACACAGCACATATGTTTCAATTCTCCACCAAGAGATAAAATGTCCTCCCCCTTCTTTAGGTTCAAAGTTTGTACAAAAAGTTTTGGTAACTTGTAAAAAAAAAAAATAGGGTTAGTTTATAAGAGATACGTATAAGGAGGCTCATACACCGTGACCAAGTGGGATTTATCCCCAGGAGGCAAGGTTGGTTTAACATAAAGAATTTGTTAACATGGGGCCGCGGGTGGCTCAGTCGTTAAGAGTCTGCCTTCGGCTCAGGTCGTGATCCCGGGGTCCTGGGATCGAGCCCTACATGGGGCTCCCTGCTCCGCGGGAAGCCTGCTTCTCCCTCTCCCTTTGCCCCTGCTCGTACTCTCTCTCTCTCTTTCTCTCTCTCTCGCGGAAATGAATAAACAAAATCTTAAAAAAAAAAAAAAAGACTTTGTTAGCGTGATACATCGTATCTAGGGAAAAGGGGGGGAAATCACAGGCTCGTCTCCGGCGACGCAGAAACCTTCCACACAACATCCCATGCCATCTGGGATAAATCTCCCAATGAAGCAGGAACAGGAGGAGCATCCTCGACCTGACGGAAGGCTCGTGCGGAAAGCCCCCGGCTAACCAACGACGCGCTCAGGGTGAAGGACCGAGGGCATCCTCCGGAGATGGGGAGCCACACGAGGACGTCTGCCCCGGGGCTTCGAATCAGACCAATTAACAAGAACAAGATACAGACGCACCCGGATCATCCGGGTCGGAGAGGAAGAAGTAAAACTACTCCCAGCAGCTATGACTGGATCTCACGTACAGAAAACCCTGGAGCCCGAGGCTGTTCCTAAGAGGCCGTGTGTGCGGCAGAATCACTTCCCGCTTTGCGAGAAGACCCTCCCCCCAAGTGAGTCGACAGAATCTTTTCAACTTCGTCCCTTCTCCCCCGTAAATGCTCCGCTGGCCTGTGGAGGGTTCCGGCGGTAACACAGGCCCGCAGCAGTGACCCGCTCGCCCTCCGAGCTCACCCGTGAGCGGCTGGGGCTGACAGCGCGGCATCTGTAGCAGCAGGGAGCTGGGCGGCATCTCAGGGAGGCCGTCGGGGACACCGACCTGCAGAACCCTTCCCCTAGGCCGGGAGGCGGATGCCCCGTGCCCACGCCTGCGCTGGCAGCGGGGCCCAGGACCAGCAGGGCTCAGCAGCCGGCCCCCAGCTCGGGATGTCAAGACCGCGGGGAACCCAGCCGCGTCCCCGGGCGAGAGGGGTGGCTCACCCGGCAGGCTGAGCTCACTGCTTCAATGACACACTTCTCGAAGCATTTCGACACGCTGTCCTCTAGGCCTGTGGCATCCCAGTGCGGGCTGCAGAAGGCGGTGATCTGGACGAGAGGCTTCTCCTGCGAGAACAGTGAGCGCTTTGGGGGCTGCACTCTTATTCACACTCTGGGCAGTAAGAACATTATTCTCTACTTTCCCCACACTGCAGCGGGTCCCCATTATTCCACCTTCCACCCCGCACTGACCGTGTCCCCCGCGGGGCCCCTCTAACTGTAGCCATGACACAAACAAGACTCCCAGTTCAGAGTCTCCCTTCCTACCCTGCAGAAAAAGCGCCTGGCCCCGCAGCTTGCAAAAACAGGTAAATTTTGGAAAAATAAGTGATTTCCCCTTGTTTCTATTTCTCTAAAAAGCATCATTTAATAGTTACATATAAACATCGCCTATCATGTAAAAACAAACCCTAATTTTCCTAGGGTCACAAGCTTTAACTAAAAACGAAGAACACTTGTTTCCTCATGTGTCACTGGGTTAAGGCTTCTGTCACCAACAAGCCACTTGGAGCTACTGCATATGGGGGGCTTTACTCCCCATACCTAGGGTTTCCCTGGTGGCAAGACCCCGTTCCCTTCTTCTTCACTGGAATATCATCTTTGGTCAAAGATGGATCAAAAATGCAAGGTCATACTGACCCAATGCCCTGCGCACACTAGGGCGATCCATTCAAATGCACCGTTCTATCTGTAGGTTGTTACAGATGGTCTGGCTTCATCAAAATGCCCCCTGAAAAGAACATCCTGACTTCTGGTACCTGTTTGATTCTCCCTTCCAAGTCTCCCATCAAGAACTCCTTCCAGCCATACTCCACGGGGAAGCTTATTTCCGCCAGCCGTCTCCAGACCTGCAAAGCCCACATGTCAGTGACAGCCACATGACAACTAAGTGCCATGATGAATTCTATGAAAAAGGAAAGACTATTATGGCAGTTCCAGGGGCGATGGGCACCTGGGTTTTGAGCCTGTCGTTGTCCCTGGTGAGCTGTGTCAGTGGCGAGTCAGAGCCACCCACCCCAGCCTTTGAGAAGGAAGGGCCCTGACAGGACCAGGCAACCAGGAGGGTCCTTCTACCGTGTAACTGGTTTTTATTCTGAAAGTATTTCTCTCCCTTGCTTTATTTCAAAAGCCTTCGAACATACAAGAACAGTTACAAGAATGGCCCAATGACACCCGTATTTCTTCAGCTGGATTCCCCAGGTGCTAATACTCAACAGCTACTTCCTCTCTTGTGCTCTCTCTGTAAGAAGCGCTTCCTCTGCAGAACCACTGGAAGAGGAGAGGTGCAGGTACCACGCCATGTGGCCCTGAAAGACTCGGGCAGGCATCTCCGAACACCGTGGCCCTTCTGCTGCACGATCACGATCCACGTGCCACACTCAGGGCACTTCATGTCAGTGGGACCCAGTTCTCTGATGGGGGCGCTGTCCACACTCTGCTGTCCTGTAGACTGTCTCTCGACCTGATCTGGCTCATAATTCTCCCGGGAGGAGATCCAGATTTGACGTTTTTGGGCAGGAGCACTATGAAGTTGAGCCATATTGAAAATGTATTTTTGTAGGTCAGGCAGGGTCGAGAGTCAGCACCTTCCCACAGCTCGCCTGAGACCTCGGGAGTGCTGTCACATCAGAGACGTGCAGAAGGAGGCCATGAGACCCCTGTCCCGTCAGGGCTGACGGTCAGGGCTGCCGGATTTCTCTTCTCCTTTTCTCCTTTGCATTAAATGGTCATCTGTGGCAGGCTACGCTGGATATCCTGCTCCTTCACACTCCTACGCACTGAGTTCACCCATGGATGAATCTTGCCTAAGTCCATTACTCCTGCCGTGTTACAGAATGAAGGGTGTTTTTTGTTTTCTTTTGTTTTTTTAAGAAGGCTCCATGCCCAATGTGGGGCTTAAACTCACGACTCTGAGGTAGAGACTCACTCTATGGACTGAGCCAGCCAGCTGCATTCTTCATT